TGAGAGGACCTTTAAAGATGTTATATGAAAAATTGTTAGGAGATGTTACAGCCAGGCAGAGTGAGCGTTATCTGACGGATGTCCAGAGCAAGCTGTCCAGAACGAGGGAGTTGGCCTTACGACATCTAAGTGAACAACAACAGGTAATGAAGCAGAAACATGACCAGAGGTTCAAGGCCAAACTCAGAGTTTTTGAGCCAGGAGATTTGGTATTGGTCCTGAAGCCTCGTATGGGTACATCTATGTCTAATAAATTTGCAGGACCGTACCAAGTATTGAAACGTCTTGGGGAAGTTACTTACAAGGTTTGCCATCCCAAGCAGAAACGACAGACCATGAGTGTGCATGTAAACCGGTTGAAGGCTTATTGTGGGCCCAGTGTTGTGGCTTGTTGTGTTGCTGAGGAGGTAATTCCTGAAGAGTCGAGTGTTGCTGAGGAAGATAGTAATATTTGTTTGTTTAATTCCAGTAGTTCCGGGGAAGAATTGTTAAGTCATTTGCAGGATGAGGAGAGAGCAGAGTTCCAGGACCTTTTGGAGGTGTCTTCTAGCTTGTTTGGGGAGGTCCCCACTCAGACTTCTCTCATTACTCACGATATCACCCTGACAAATGTGACTCCAATTCGGCTGCACCCTTATCGAGTGACACCCGAGAAACGTCGTATCATCCAGGAGGAGGTTGATTATCTTCTTCGACATGGGTTCATTAGACCCAGTCAGAGTTCCTGGAGTTCGCCATGTCTATTAGTACCAAAACCAGAAGATAAGTGGAGATTAGTAGTGGACTATAGAAAACTCAACCAGGTAACTGTAGTTGATGTTTATCCTTTACCATTATTGGAAGAATGTGTTGATACTATAGGTCATGCTAAATTTGTGTCTAAATTAGACTTATCTAAGGGATATCATCAGATACCTCTTACAGATTTTGCAAGGGAAGTGACAGCATTTATCACTCCTGATGGAGCTTACGAGTTTAATGTCATGCCTTTTGGATTAAGGAATGCTCCAGCCACTTTTCAGAAATTAATGAATTCTTTGTTGAAGGATGTACCAGACTGTAGGGCATATTTGGATGACATTGTGATTTTCAGTAAGAATTGGGTAGATCATATGTCCAGTTTAAAGAAATTGTTTAATGTGTTACAACATGCTAATTTGACTGTCAATATGAAGAAATGTAGTTGGGCTAAAGGAACTATAGTGTATTTAGGACATGAGGTCGGACAAGGAAGGATAGTCCCATTGCACGACAAGATTCAGGCAATTGTGGAGTACCCAGTCCTAACAAATAAGAAGTCTGTGCAAAGATTTATTGGAATGTGTGCGTATTATAGGAGGTATTGTAAAAACTTTTCCATTGTTGCTGCACCCATAACAAATCTTTTAAAGAAACAGGTAAAATTTAAGTGGACGCAGGAGTGTCAGAACTCTTTTCAGAAGTTGAAAGGAATTCTCTCTACTTCACCTGTGCTAGCTAGTCCACAGTATGATAAACCTTTTATTCTTCACATAGACGCTTCAGATTTAGGAGCAGGTGCTGTTTTGTTCCAAGTAGGACCAGATGAGTTAGAACATCCTGTTTATTATTTCTCACGTAAGTTTGACAAGACACAAATTAATTACTCTGTAGTTGAGAAAGAAGCACTTTGTTTAATACTGGCAGTGAAGAAATTTGAGACATATTTGTCAGGTAATCAAGTGGTAGTATATACAGACCATAATCCATTGACATTTATCAACTCTATGAAGTGTAAAAACCAGAGAATACTTAGATGGTCATTGATTCTGCAAGAATTCAATATTGTAATTCGTCATATTCCTGGGAGGCAAAATGTTATTGCTGATGCCTTATCCAGGGGATTTCCTGTTGCAGTGCCATAATATGTAGTGTTCTATTCATAAGATGTATGAAATTTTTGTATTTTTTTTACTGTGTGAGATTTCATTGCTTTGCACTTGAATTTTAGTCGAAGCATTTTCCTGTTTATTTTCATGTTATATTACATGTTATATTTCATGCAGTCAAAAAAAAAAAAATGAAATCAACCTTCAGTTAATTTCATTTTTTTCTTAGGGGACGGGAGGGATGTTACGAATCTCACTAGGATTCTGCATTACTCTTGATTCTCATATTACTTTATTGTCTTGTTCTTTAATATAGCATCTAGTTGTATGATATAAGATTTGTATGTTATATATATATATTATAGCATGCAGTAGTGTGCATGAGTTACATTATATTGTGTGAGGCTTTTGGTGTTAATTTCTCATGTAGTTTCTCCGTGTGGGCGGTTGACCATATTTGGATATGGCCAGTGTGGGAACATTGTTGTCAATTGAGTGTTTATAGTTTCACCTTAAATTATGCCCATATTTGGTTTCTGTATTATTATATAGAATGTTGTACCAGTGTTTACTATTCTTTAGTTTAACAATGTTTTGAATATTAGTGCTGCGTTTTATTATTAGATTTTCCACAATGTTTTGTGTGGACGGTTAGTTGATTTTTTGGTAGACGCTTGGCCTGCGGTCCAAGGCGTGGGCAGAAGCGTGGCGGCAGCGGTCATGAGGAGTCATGGTTTAAGTTAAGTCATTGGTCACTGTTATTTTAGCCCATATAAATGTTAATTATCTGGTTAGATCATATTGTATATATCTCTCTAATTAATCCATGTCTTAGTGATAGTGCTCATGTCTCAATAAGGAGGTTATTCTATGATTTGCATGCTGAAGAATATTTCTGGTTATTATTGATACATTTAAGTGTTTTTTATGATTGTCCCCCTTAGCATAAATATATTGTTCTCCATTTTTATGCAGTGATTTATATTTACCCCTAGACAGTTGTTGGCAAGGCCGATTTATTATCTTTTATTGCACTGCGGGGAGAAGAACCTTATTTAGTCTCAAGGGTGGTAACAATACACCCTCCCTATTTCCTCCCCAGCACACACCATCCCTATCTCCTCCCCTGCACACACCCTCCCTATCTCCTCCCCAGCACACACCCTCCCTATCTCCTCCCCAGCACACACCTTCCCTATCTCCTCCCCAGCACACACTTTCCTTATCTCCTCCCCAGCACACACCCTCCCTATCTCCTCCCCAGTACACACCCTCCCTCTCTCCTCCCCCCAGCACACACCCTCCCTATCTCCTCCCCAGCACACACCTTCCCTATCTCCTCCCCAGCACACACCATCCCTATCTCCTCCCCTGCACACACCCTCCCTATCTCCACCCCTGCACACACCCTCCCTATCTCCTCCCCAGCACACACCCTCCCTATCTCCTCCCCAGCACACACCTTCCCTATCTCCTCCCCAGCACACCCTCCCTATCTCCTCCCCAGCACACACCTTCCCTATCTCCTCCCCAGCACACACCTTCCCTATCTCCTCCCCAGCACACACCTTCCCTATCTCCTCCCCAGCAAACACCCTCCCTATCTCCTCACTAGCACACACCCTCCCTATCTCCTCCCCAGCACACACCCTCCCTATCTCCTCCCCAGCACACACCTTCCCTATCTCCTCCCCAGCACACACCTTCCCTATCTCCTCCCCAGCAAACACCCTCCCTATCTCCCCACACTACACACCCTCCCTTTGTTTAAGTAAGCTTGGGGAAGTCTGGGTAGGAGTGTGATCGTGTGTGCATGTGCTTGCGTGTGCGTGCGAGCTCCAGTGTTTTTGCAAGCCGGGAGGGTTAAACAAGCAACGCCGCAGTGGAAAAGTACATAATAGTGTATGAATGTCAGACACGATGACCGAAACGAAAATTAGCTGAAAAATCAAAGCAGAAATGGATTTTTTCACAGGAAATAATGGGGATGCACATGGTAAAAGTGACGGCTGTGAGAGAGTATAGGGAGGCAGGTAGTGACCTGAGTCGGGTACCAACCCACCACCCAAGGTTCCACTGAGAGGGGGGGACCAGCCCTAAAGATTTAGACCACAACACAAAGCCCAAAACAGAAGCTAGCACCAACACTTATGACTGCACTGTCCTCACAAACACCACCTAGCACCAACACTGATGACTGCACTGTCCTCACAAACACCACCTAGCACCAACACTGATGACTGCACTGTCCTCACAAACACCACCTAGCACCAACACTGATGACTGCACTGTCCTCACAAACACCACCTAGCACCAACACTGATGACTGCACTGTCCTCACAAACACCACCTAGCACCAACACTGATGACTGCACTGTCCTCACAAACACCACCTAGCACGAGGGGAAACCAATGTTGACATTAAAGATTTACAAATTATGTTATATGAATACAGACTATCAACAGAACAATTTATTTATACTATCAACAGAGTTTTCAATGGGTCATTCCATCTCAAATCACCAAAAAGTCACCTATGGCACCCACTCGACCCTCTCCAAATGCCATGAAATATTAGCTGAGATATTAGCATGGATTGGTAGCTGAATGGCTACTCAAACTACTTTTTTGATTACACTGCTGTATTTCGCACCAAAAGTTGCCCTGGTATGTCAAATTTCACACTTCTCTGGGCACTAGTCGTTATTTAATGAAGGGTCAAAGTTGGTCATTTTTGAGGTATTTACGCATTAACGGGACGAGAGCCCATTCAATATGGACCTGTTATTTAAGAACCAAAGCAGGTTGAGCTCTAATATTTTGCACATTTTCATTTGGGGTCTAGGGCTACTTTATTACAAAATTTCATTAGATTTAGAAAGGGTAGAGGGGAGGCCTATAGTGAATTCACATGGAATGACCCCAATGCCAACTGTGCTCCGTAGCCATGCACAGAAAAAGTGCTAACATGACCAATAATGCAAGAAAAATTGGACTGAGAAATCACTCTGTGTACTGGGTGTGTGAAAAAGATAATATCATCTGCCTGAAGATGATTTCAATTTTAGAAAAGTCTCCTGCAGAGAACAGAGAAGTCCTTCCAAATGCCTGCTGTGAAATATCCAAAAGTTTCAGGCAAACTGTCCCTGACACTCAGCCAGAGTCGTCGGACTCATTGTCAGTGTCGTCGGACTCATTGTCAGTGTCGTCGGGCTCATTGTCAGTGTCGTCGGGCTCATTGTCAGTGTCGTCTGGCTCATTGTCAGTGTCGTCGGGACCATTGTCAGTGTCGTCTGGCTCATTGTCAGTGTCGTCGGGACCATTGTCAGTGTCGTCTGGCTCATTGTCAGTGTCGTCGGGACCATTGTCAGTGTCGTCGGGACCATTGTCAGTGTCGTCTGGCTCATTGTCAGAGTCGTCGGGACCATTGTCAGTGTCGTCGGGACCATTGTCAGTGTCGTCGGGACCATTGTCAGTGTCGTCTGGCTCATTGTCAGTGTCGTCGGGACCATTGTCAGTGTCGTCTGGCTCATTGTCAGTGTCGTCGGGACCATTGTCAGTGTCGTCTGGCTCATTGTCAGTGTCGTCGGGACCATTGTCAGTGTCGTCGGGACCATTGTCAGTGTCGTCGGGACCATTGTCATGTAACAGTAGAACTGTAATACAGAAGACCGTAGATCTAACATGAAATGTTGTAGTTCACTAGAAGTGAGGATACGACTTGGTAAAAATATGGAGTGAGAAGGTAGTTGACCTGACAGGCTAGAGGCATCCCTCCCCCTAGGGACTAGACTCATGTGTAGAAAACGGTAGCGCCACTCTGATCCTGTGTCGAGTCATTAAACTGGGAGAATAATTCAGGTATTAAAGAATTAGTAGGAATAATCAATCGTTGTTAAGTACTTATATTAAAATTTACGTCAATGAAGAATAAATAATAAGTCTCGTATGTTATCAAAGAAGCATAAGACGTCAGTAAGAAGTATCTCGTACTCGGTAAATAAGTACCTCCCCAGCTTGCTTGTTATTCATGTAAATTAGTGAAATGCAAGTGCTATTGACTTTTGTAATTAGCCTGGCTCGATCGGAAAATCCGACACCATTTAATAATATCACATGCAATTGCAGATAATATTGCTGCATTATATACACAAGTTAACCCATAGAAAATGTAACTTGTAGTGGAACTTTCCGTCTATAGAAAACGGGATATTATTGCCACATACTATTATAAATTCACCAGCTATTCTGCTGGGAATTATTCTTAAATACATTAGTCTTTGGACTTTTACATCATAAAAACATCTCATTTGAATTAACTTAATTATCAATATTAAAATAGAGTAAATGTGACCCTTCTATCAGTTACTGATATCTGGACAATGTAGGCCAGTAGCGTCAGTAGTGAGGGAGTGGTCAGCCATTGTTGTTAGACCTGAGGCGCAGGGAGCAAATTCGGCTCCTGTTAATTTCTCTTGGACGAAGTGTTATGGAAACCAAAGGTCTTCCATCATCAACACGCTGTCAACAATAACAAGGGAAGTGTTCTGCCGAAACCCATTTATCTAATCATTTTTGGCCATTAATGTCAGTAGATAGGGCGAACCGGTTAGAATGCGAACAGCCTCTTAAAAAAGGTAATTAAGCCTTGGTCTTTATGATTCATTATACAGTGTTTTCTCTGATATAGCTGTCATATATTAGGATTCTGGCTTTACAGCTAGTGCCTTTGACAGGTCAAGAAGAGGAAGCAAACTTTGTGTATCAGTTACTGGGTGATGGAAGCTGCCTCACAGAGGATAATTTGGTGTCTACATCCTAGTTATATCTGGTGGACTAAGCCTGCTGTATAATAAGATAAGGAACCTCCTCAATGTATACTAATATATGTAGTTTAATACTGTAGTTTGATTGGCTGCATATATATAAATTCAATATAAACCCCCCTAATGTGTAGTGGATCGATTTGTGAGATTATTGCAGAAATACAGTCCACTTAACATCATACAAATTGCTATCGAAATATATAAATTAACGTAAATATAAATTCTATATAAATTCATATAAATTAAATAAATATAAATCTCACAGGTCGGTTCCCACATTATTTGGTCCTTCGAAACCGGATTATTTGGTCCTTTGAACCCACATTATTGGTCATCTTCGAGTCGGATGACAGATTATTTGGTCATCTTAGTACCGGATGAACCAGTTAACCAGTGGATTCATTAAATATACTAGTGCAGTGTGATTTATACAAAGCCAGTCAAAGACGGCGGCGTTGCCTCGAGCGAGCTCAGGAGCCCCTCAGCTCAGTCCAGCCTCATCAGCGGTTTCAGGGTCACCCACAGATTTGGTGGCGTGTTATTCCGTGAAATGACAGCGCTTATATTGAAGCCAGCCAAATTAGTGGCTGTGTCCTCGCAAGATTGTTCACGGATTTCGTGGTGTTAATTTCGCGAGAGATTATCCACGAATTTTGTGGAGTTTATTTCGCGAGGTCACTAATAATATTTAATACTTCTTGATAATATTAGAAGTTTCATAGAGGCTAATTAAGAGGCTATTATCAATAATTGTGTATATTATTTCTCCAAAATAGAGAATTATTTAATATATATTGCACTAGTGTTCACAATATAATATTTACCAATTGCCAACCCACAACAGGGTAGGATATACATTGACTAGTGTTTATAGATAACCTAGTCCCCTATTACCATTGACTAGTTGAACTATTTATTGTTCATCCTAGTCCCATTATTACCATAGTCTAGTTGTACTATATTGAACAACCTAGCACCATTAATGAATGGTGCAGACCCTATTTTGGGTGTAATTTTTATCAACTCGAGTTGAGTTGTGTATATATAATAATTTACTTATGATCATTACACCTTTGAGTGATTAATTAGTGTCTATACCATCCTAGGGTGATATAGAAGAGCTAACCTAAAGGTACTTCCAGTGACACTGGTTTATCACTCAAATCATTAGTGTGTATGATTGTATATATATAATGTGTATTAATTTTAAGTGCTAACCTCTAGTAGAGGTAGGATTATCGCCTAGTGAGTGCAGAATTTTACCCTAGGCTACCATCAGTACTTGTTCAGTATTATGAGCAACCCAAGTACAAGCCCCACAAGGCTTAACCAACTAGCCAATATGAATAATGCTGGCAATGAGAAAACTGTCATACATCTAGTACTACAATTGCTGGACTTACCTCAACCTGATCAGACTGCTGACTCATTACAATCCTTCAGCATGGAGTTTGAGTCACTACTAAGAACATTCAGTCTTAAGGTTGATATAACTACTAGTGAATGGATGACCAAAGTAGTCCTTCAACGAAAATTGTCCAGCGATATACTAGATGAATTATACGCACATCAACATAACACCATCCTGACAGTACAGGACATCACTGAAGGTTTACATTCCATCATAAACAAACGACGTGCAAATGAGGAAGTTAAAGCCTCATGCAAGCCTTCAGAAATAGAAAATAATAGTCAATTAAAGGGTAAAACAACTACCCCAAATAAACATCAGTCAATTACTCTAACATCAAGTTGCAGAAAATCTGACAATGCAGCAGAATCCTCCAAGCCTACTGTTACTAGTTCACCCAAACCGGTAACTTCCAAACGTGCAGTAGGCTGGGGGACATGTATGTTCTGCAAAAAGAAACATTCAACATACTGTTGTGCTAATTATCCAACCAGAGACACTCGTATTAAGCGACTCCAGGAATTAGGGAGATGTTCAAGGTGTCTCAAGTCACACAACATAGACTATTGTGATACCCAATTCAACACCTGCAACAGGTGTAGAAGAGGTAGGCACCATGCAGCACTGTGCAAACATACGAAATTAACGTATTCAAGACCCAAGGTGGAAGATAGCATTCCCACCACAGTACAGTACTGCAAGGTGCAACAAACAAAGAGTGTCCAATCGGCAAAGTCTAAAGGTAATACGACTTTGCCTACTGCCAAAATTACCATCCAGAATAAGAGGGCCAAGGTCCATACCCGTGGGTTGTTTGACCAAGGGTCCCAGAGAACATATGTCACTAAAAAGTTGGCAGATGAACTACAATTAAGGCCTGTAGCCCAGACGTCATTCAACATCTCAGGGTTTGTAACAGATGCAGGACCTCAAGTCTACCAGGTGGTACAACCATCAGTACGTTTAGGCAGGTACGTCTGTCGAGTACAAGCCATTGTGGTGGACAAAATACCAGTAGACCTACAAGTTCAAGGTCTGAGAGCAACAGCCAAATTCCTGAGAAATAGAGGAATAAAATTGGCAGATAATATTAAGTCTGATCACCTCACCGACTTCGGTCTCCTTGTAGGGACAGACTATTGCCATCGATTCATCGGTAGCCCTACTAAATATCAGGGCATAACCATGTTAAATTCTGCAGGAGGTAAATTACTCTCAGGCCCAGTATCAAGCCTGAGGAGACCTATGGCTGCAGATAAACAATACCAGTAGAAATCTAAATTTGTCAGCTGATTATATTTCTCCAGTAGCATTATACTAAGGAGATTACAGCTGACTATAGTAACAGAGGTTGATGTTAATATCATCATTTAAAGCTGAAGATGAGTTCATGAGGCTTCAGTGGCAAATCAGTGAACAGTAGCCTAAACAGCTACAAGTCACTGCGACCAATGTCACTGAACCCACTGCAGTCTCAGAACCATTCTTTACTTTAATGATGGGCTATTCAATCCTCTGAATCAATTAACTAAATTAAACCCCAATAAATCTGACGACTGATTTTGATACATTTATTATTTAATCAAGATGAATTCCATGGGCCTCAGTGTTTATATATCAGTGACCAGTTACCTGAACAAGCTTCAAGTTATATCTAATGTCACTGATCTCACTGCAGTCCCTGAATCATACTTGACTGTAGTACTTGATCACATTCAGTCTTCTGGGTTAAATAATATGTAATTAGGCTTGAATTTTAGCCTTTCAAGAGTTAACAGGGAAATGAAATCGCATTAGACTTCTAACCCCTGCAACTCGAGTACGGGACATCCGTCCTGTACGAACAGACGCACAAATGTGTGATTACTAACTACTAACATCAAATTAATCTAATAATTCGAAGGAGGAGTATCGGTGTTCGTCTGTTCTAAATAGGACTTCGACCCGTGAGCAGCCCCCGGGGAATTATGTCGGAAAATCCGACACCATTTAATAATATCAATGCAATTGCAGATAATATTGCTGCATTGTATACACAAGTTACCCATAGAAAATGTAACTTGTAGTGGAATTTTCCGTCTATAGAAAACGGGATATCATTGCCACATACTATTATAAATTCACCAGCTATTCTGCTGGGAATTATTCTTAAATACATTAGTCTGGACTTTTACATCATAAAAACATCTCATTTGAATTAATTTAATTATCAGTATTAAAGTAGAGTAAATGTGACCCTTCTATCACTTTCTGATATCTGGACAATGTAGGCCAGTAGCGTCAGTGGTGAGGGAGTGGTGAGCCATTGTTGTTAAGACCTGAGGCAGGGAGCAAATTCGGCTCCTGTTAATTTCTCTTGGACGAAGTGTTATGGAAACCAAAGGTCTGCCATCATCAACATGCTGTCAACAATCACAAGGGAAGTGTTCTGCCGAAACCCATTTATCTAATCATTTTTGGCCATTAATGTCAGTAGATAGGGCGAACCGGTTAGAATGCGAACAGCCTCTTAATAAAAGGTAATTAAGCCTTGGTCTTTATGATTCATTATACAGTGTTTTCTCTGATATAGCTGTCATATATTAGGATTCTGGCTTCACAGCTAGCGCCCTTTGACAGGTGAAGAAGAGGAAGCAAACTTTGTGTATCAGTTACTGGGTGATGGAAGCTGCCTCGCATGAGGAAATTTGGTGTCTACATCCTAGTTATACCTGATGGACTAATCCTGCAGTATAATAAGATAAGGAACCTCCTCAATGTATACTAATATATGTAGTTTAATACTGTAGTTTGATTGGCTGCATATATATAAATTCAATATAAACCCCCCCCCCCTAATGTGTAGTGGATCGATTTGTGAGATTATTGCAGAAATACAGTCCACTTAACATCATACAAATTGCTATCGAAATATATAAATTAACATAAATATAAATTCTATATAAATTCATGTAAATTAAATAAATATAAATCTCACAGGTCGGTTCCCACACTTGTTTAATAATTCTTTTATAGAATTTATGATGTTTAGTAGAATTTCCCCTAACGGTTATTTTATAGTGTTGTTGGGCTCAAACCTCATGCTCGGGACTAGCTCCCTCTGCAAGCCCACAAGCATTTATTTAATATTGCATATAATCCCTTTGCACTTTGATTTAATTCCACACTTAACGTAAATCTTATCCCTCCTTTTCTGACAACTGGCGATCCATTTTCAAGGGTTTATGCCCAATTGACGGTATTCTGCTTCACCGTCAATTGGGGGTATTACTCAGTGGGTAGAAGGTAGCAGGTGGTGACGGCGTAAGTCAGAGCTTGCAGTGTAGAATCGAAGGGTACAGTATCCTCGAGCCGTGATATCTAAATGATCAAACGTTTAGATCTCGAGGAGTTGAACTGAAGGTTACACAGCCGGAGTCTGATTTCTGTATATTTATTTAATAACAACCACCAGTAAGTGAGGTTAAAGGCTGGCCCCTGTTACAGTCAGAGTCGTTGGATTTCACTGTCAGAGTCGTCGGATTTCATTGTCAGAGTCGTCAGACTCATTGTCAGAGTCGTCATATTTCACTGTCGGCATCGTCGGGCTCATTGTCAGAGTCGCTGGACTCATTGTCACGGCCATCGGGCTCATTGTCAGCGTAATCGGGCTTATTCCCTGAGTCGTTGGGCTCATTGCCAGAGTCGTCAAGAGTAAGGAAATTTATGACTAGAGGGGTCCCCTCCATCAGCGGAGATGGATGAGGGACGGATGAGTGATTAATCACTTGCTGATCGTGAAGGCGCTTGTGTGCGTGTGCACGACTGGAGTGCGAGTGTCCGTTTATCCCATCCTCTCGCAATGTGTGAGTGAGGGAGGGAAGGAAGGGAATTACCAGCGTAAAGTGCCAAGCCATTACGATTATATAGCACCTGGAAGGGGTCACGATAAGGATTTGGGGTTGGACAGGGTAAGGACCCAAATGGATGGCTTAAGGGGCCCAAGATTTAAGGGTTAACTTAATTTATTTTTTTGGGACTAGCTCTTGGACCCTGTCTTACTCGTTTAAAATGTAGTATTTTGCACGTAGTAAACTCCTATTCTTTTTTCTAGTGTATGGATTTGTAGATATATGATTAGAATAACTTTAGAGGACGTTTTTTCCCCTCTAGTCACCTAGTCACATATCCAAAGGTTTCACAATCAGGAATCAATGACACAAAGGCCCAGTCTCTGGAGTGGATGAACATTAACTGCCACAGCTGCGGCCACCTGCCGCCCGTCGTCCCCACCCCTGGCCTCCACCGAGCAGGATGTATGTGGTTAACCATTGACCATCTCCCCAGGGCTTAACTATTCCAGTCAAACTGGTGTCTTATTATTATTATTAATATTTACTAGGTTATATTACTGAGAAATAACTGAGTTATTAAGTCCATCAAAGCTCTTTTGCATCTAAAGCTTTTTTCATCTTGAGCATCTCATGTCTTACCAATTATACTAAATCAAATCGATCTATATATTCCAACTAAGATATTTAAGCTACATGATTGCGTATACTATATAATTTGCAGTAATTAAAATTCACCCCATTTTCGGGAGAGTGGTGAGACCTTCCCGGAGAAGAGATGATGACAAATGTAGCAGGAGGGAGTGCTTGGTAATTGATGGCTCAGTGAAATGAGAGAGCGAGCATGTGGATGTCATGGGGGTGTGGTTGAGAGTGGCTGACCAGGAATGCGGGTGAGCAGATGTATGAGAGCAGGGGGCGAGCGTGGATGAGTGAGAGTACTTACCTATCAGTACTCACCTATCACTGCTGATGATGCAAACACAGTCCACACCTATTTCGTACACTTATTAAGATGTTTCATTTCCCCCCCCCCCCCCCCCCTTCACTTACGCTGTTCAATATTTCATCACTGATAAGACGTGGTTCTCTACTTTGTCTTTATTTTCAGAGAAAGTTAAAAAATAAAGTTGAAAGTTGAAAGTTGTAGGAGAGGCAAGGGGGGGGGCAATAGCATAATAAATCGATTTAAACTTCCTTTATACAGTTTAACACAGCAAACCGATGGTCTGTTTCATAACTCTGCTCCCATTAAATAGCTTACATATACCTCACTCCAATGTGTACGTCCTCTGTCTTACCACTCCTACTATATCAATCAACTATACCTTCCAACTCAACTAATTTAAACTTCAGGTTTAGTGTTTACTTTTCAATAAGCAGTAATTAAAATTTCCCCAACCCACCTTTTATTAACTTTAACTTTTACTAAGACAGTTACGTCCATGCAATTTAAGCCATACTTTTAATAGTTGCAAAACATCAACACGTCTTCTGTTTCGGATCATAGAGTGACAAGTTTTGCAGAGTGAGTTTTTTGAAGAGTGACAAGTTTTTTGCAGTGTCAAGTGTTTTTACAGAGTGACTTTGTTTTTGCAGAGTGACAAGTTTTGTTTTGCATAGTGACTTGGTTTATGCAGAGTGACTTAGTTTTTGCATAGTGACTTGGTTTTTGCATAGTGACTTGGTTTTTGCAGTGACAAGTGTTTTTGTAGAGTGACTTAGTTTTTGTAGAGTGACTTAGTTTTTGTAGAGTGACAAGCGATTTTTACACAGTGACAACTTCTGTTTTACAGAGAGACAAGTTTTTTTTTTTTTTTTGCACCTTTTTTTTATGCTGAGTGACTTTTCGCAGTGACATTTTTTTTTTTTTTTGAGTAGCTTAGTTTTCAGTTATAAGTTTTGTTTGTTGTTTCTTCCATTCAGTAACTAGTTTACTGTTATGTATTATCAACAGCATTACTGTTTGTCAACAAATTAACTTCTAGTTAGTTCAAATTATATATTTTAGTTACAAAGTATTTCATTTATCCATTCACTGAAATTTAATGTCACCTCCACAGTCGATCTGCAGCAGTGCAACAAAGATGCCCAGAACTACTTTTTTAAACTAGACAGACAGGGTCCAAGAGCTAGTCACAATAAATAAATAAGTTAACCCTTAAATTCTCCATCCATCTGGGTCCTTCCCCTGTCCAACCCTAAATCGTTATCTTGACCCCCTCCAGGTGTTATATAATCGTAATGGCTTGGCATTTTACCCTTATAATTCACTCCCTTCCCTCATTTAAAATCACATTGCGAGGAGGAGGCATAAACGGACCCTCGCACCCCGGTCACGCACACGCACACGAGGGCCTTCACGATCAGCGCGCGATTAATCAAGCTCATCCGTCACTCATCCATTTCCGCTGATGGAGGGGACCCCTCGAGTCATAAATTTCCCTACTGGTGGGCTCATTCCCAGAGTCGTCGGGCTCTAGGCCAAAGTTGTCGGGCTCATTGTCCAAGTCGTCGGGCTCTATGCCAAAGTTGTCGGGCTCATTGTCCAAGTCGTCGGGCTCTATGCCAAAGTTGTCAAGCTCATTGTCCAAGTCGTCGGGCTCTATGCCAAAGTTGTCGGGCTCATTGTCAGAGTCGTCGGGCTCTAGGCCAAAGTTGTCGGGCTCATTGTCCAATTCGTCGGGCTCATTGTCAGAGTCGTCGGGCTCATTGTCAGAGTCGTCGGGCTCTAAGCCAAAGTTATCGGGCTCATTGTCCAATTCGTCGGGCTCATTGTCCAATTCGTCGGGCTCATTGTCAGAGTCGTCGGGCTCATTGTCAGAGTCGTCGGGCTCATTGTCAGAGTCAAGCCAAGAGAAAAAAACAAAACAAGAACCCAACACCTGTCGATACAACAAAAGGAGTACATGTTAATATGGGATATTAGGAGAACCAATGGGACATTCAAGCACGATCACCCCTAGAAAGTGTAGGAATATTCTTAGCACAGGGGAAATGTTCCAAAAGCTGTACATTTTTCCACCCAGAACTTTGTAAAAACTCTTAAAATAAGAGAGAATGTTTCATCAGTGACTATCCAGAGTTTCAAATAAGGAAAACCAGGTGAATAAAATCAAAGGAACGCCACTATGAGAAGAGCTACAAACCTACACACCAGGAAGATTTTTTAGCAAGAGAAAGAGGAGAAGACTTGCTTAAAATGTCCAGACTCTACCACGAACTCGGTCAAATGATAGAGTAGACACAAACACAGTGGCCCCTTTACCAGAACCCCAGATACTAACACCAAGTAAAACATCCAGCACTTCCACAATCACGATAACATCATTTACATTTGCCAACGTTCAGGGTATAAAAACACACTAATCAAAGAAAGTCCACTTTATTGCTGGCCTCCTAAATGAGGCAAATGCAGTGTTTGCAGCCCTAACTGAAACTCACTCAAAAGATTACTATAATAGAGAAATATAGATACCGGAGTCCAATCTTTTCAGATGTGACAGAAAACACAGGCTACAGGTTGGGGTCAGCCTGTACATCAAAGACACACTCATCTGCACTAAGCTGCTGAACACCACAAACGATATGGTGTAAGTGCTGATAATCAAAACAGATTGTGGTTATTGCCTTTGTATACAAGTCACCAGAGGCAAATCCTCAGCAGTTTAAAAACCAGCTAATGAAAATAGAATTCTGCTTAGGAAACCCCATAAATCCACCCCCCCCCCCAAAATCATCCTGCTTGGTGACTTCAACCTCCTGCACCTGAAATGGAAGAATATAGCAAACATAGTTATTGGAGAGAGAATTCTTGGAGGCAGCCAAAATAAACAGTCACACACAAATGACCTACTACGGATGTGCGACAGATTTGCACATAGCCAGCAAATAGTAGACCCAACTAGAAAAGATAACACACTAGACCTTATGTTCACAAATAACGATGAATTGAACAGGAACATAATGATTACAAACACCTGTTATTTCAGATCACATCTTAATTGGAGTTCAGACAAGCATAGGTAATAAACCTGCTCTTCAGTCCCAAACTCTAGAGGAGGAAAATTCATAAAATTTTATTTTAATAATAAACAGATAAACCGAGAACAAATAAACCAACATCTCACAGATATAAGCTGAGAAGAACCACTAGAAAATGCAAACCTAAACCAGTTCCTCGAGAAAGTATGCGCGGTGAAATAAGCACTAGAAATATGCTCAACCGCGTACCTCGTAGAAACAAAAAGAAAAAAGAATAACTGGAACGGGAACGACGTTCCTTCTACAGACGAAGAAAATGATTCGTAGAACAACTTGAACGCCCCGCCCTATCTCAAGAATAACAAAGAAGACTATGTTCAGAAATAGAAATGATTGAATTAAAGCTACACGAATCATATGAAATCCAAGAGAGGTACAGAGAGAGCAAAAGGCCACCAGCGAAATAGAGAAAAATTCGAAATTTTTTCTCCTATTTTTTTCTATGCAAAATCTAGACCAAAACCTACATCCAGCATTGGGCCCCTGCGAAAGGGAGATGGAACTTTCACAGATGACAACAATGAGATGAGCGAAATACTGAAACAACAGTACGATTCCGTTTTCAGTCATTAAACAAACTAAAGCTAGATAACCCAAACAAATTCTTCATGAATTTAATACATCAAATCATATATCAGATGTCACCCTAACTCCACTTGATTTTGAAGTAGCCACAGACAGTATGCCTATGCACCAAACCCTGATTCCTGGAACTCCATCAATACCTGTAATAAAACCCAGTATCGCAGGCCTAAAAAAATTTTTAGACGGAGCTTAGATACTGGTGTTATTCCTGACACATTAAACACAGCAGAAATAGCACCACTCTATAAAGGAGGGAATAAAGCAAAGGCAAAACACAATAGGTCATTAGCACTAACATCACACATCATAAAAATCTTTGAAAGAGTGATAAGTAGTAAGATCACAAAACACATGCAATCACAGCGTCTAAATGACCCTGGACAACACAGTTTCATAACAGGGCATTCTTGCCTATCACAGGTGCTGAACCACTATGACATTGCCTTAGATACCATGGAAGACAAACAAACCACCGACGTAATATACACAGATTTCACAAAAGCCTTCAACAAATGTGACCATGGTTTTATTGGGACAAAATGCGCTCAAAGTGAATCACTGGAAAAATACGAAGATGGATCTACAATTTCCTAACATAACTCAGTGTGTAATAGTGAACAAAGTAAAATCCGCACCATCAACCATAAAGAGCTCAGTCACCCAGGGTACTGTGCTCGCTCCAGAATTCTTTATCATTCTCATATTGAACATTGACAAGTTCAAACTACAGTACCGTATCATCCATTGCAGATGACACTATGATTTTTTTTATGTATCTGAATTTACCTGAGGGCACTAACACCAGTGGCCTCGACGAGGACAGGAATCCGGCAGCTTGTCTAAGGTCCCCCATTTGCCATGATAATCTGTTCCAGTTGGATATTAAAATTTAACAGAGTTTCGGCATTTACGACTTCGGCGGGTAAGCGGTTCCATGGGTTTCTAACCCTGTGGGTGAAAAAGCCTCTCCTGTTCTCAGTCCTACAGTGTGGCTTGTTGAGCTTGAAACCGTTGTTCCTTGTTCGTGTTACATCAGACCTATTAAAGAAATTGACCAGATCAACATCCTCCAAATTGTTCAGTAATTTAAAAGTTTCAATGGGATCCGCTCTGTCATGCTTGATTTGCAGTGTTGTTAGCTCTTTGGCTTTCAACTGTTCCCGATACGCGAGTTGACTTAGCTCTGGGTTGATTTTTGTAGATTTTATGAGAGTAGACCACATAGACCACAGCAAACCTCCAAACGGATGTAAATCAGGTCTTTCATGGGGCCACAAAAATAATATGGTATTTAGTGAAGTTCCAGCTCCTGTGCTATGGAAAAAATACAAATCTAAAAACGGAAACCACTTACAAAACGCAGTCAAGTAATATCATAGAACGTAAAAGCAATGTTAAGGATTTGGGTGTACTCATATCGGGAAACCTTACCTTTAAAGAACACAATAAAGTAGCCGTCACAATTGTAAGAAAAATTAAAGGATGGATAACAAGAACCTTCCAAACAAGAGACGCCATACCAATGATGCTACTTTTCAAGACACTAGTGCTCTCTAGAGTGGAATACTGCTGCACAATGACAGCTTCTTTCAAAGCTGCAGAAATTTCTGACCTGGAGAACGTGCAGAGATTCTTTACTGCTAGAATCCACTCTGTAAAACATCTAAACTATTGGGACCAACTAAAATGCTTAAATTTGCATTCTCATGAGCGCTGGCGGGAGAGGTACATAATAAATTACACGTGGAAAATATTAGAGAGGCTGGTCCCAAATCTGCACACAGAAATATCATCACATGAGACCAGAAGACATGGCAGGATGTGCAGAATACCCCCGTTGTATAGCAGAGGTGCAATAGGTACTCTGAGAGAGAACTCTATCACCATCAGTGGCCCGAGACTGTTCAACACACTCCCACTACACGTAAGGGTCATAACTGACCGACCCCTCACTGTGTTCAAGAGAGAACTTGATAAACACTTCCAAAGAAGGTGTTTATCGAGTTCAACCATGTGATCAGTTCAACCAACCAATCAACCAGGCTGTGATTCATAAGACAAGCTGCGAGCAGCTGCTTCCAACAGCCTGGTTGATCAGACCATCAACCAAGAGGGAATTTGACCCCCAGAATCAACACAACATAAAGTAAAGTAACCTCCTTATCTCCTCCCCTGTGTACACCTTCCCTATCTCCTCCCCAGCATACACCTTCCCTATCTCCACCCCAGTGTACCCCTTCCCTATCACCTCCCCACCACACACCCTCCCCATCTCCACACACACACACACACACCCTCCCCATCTCCACACACACACACACACACACTTTCAGACCAACCTATCCTCATATAAATAACGTCGCTTTTAGCCGTTTGCCCGTATGGCCGAAAGTGGACGTAATTTGAAAATGAAAAAAATGGAAATAAATTTGGGATTTTTTTTTAACAAAAATAAGTTAAGAGTCCTCTGGCAGGTTAGGTGGGCAGAAAATTCTCATAAAGTTTCAAAACTTTATGAAAAACGTTAATTGAAAGTTTCCTCTCCTAACCTTTCCGAGTAGGCCGGACGACTCAAACAGAAAACGGGACAGTACGTCACTTTTGTGAGCTTATTTCATTTCAAATTACATCCACTTTTAGCCAAAGGGCGCATACGAGCGAAAAGCAATATGTTATTTTTATGAGGACGGGTTGCACACACCCTCCCCATCTCCACAAACAAACACCCTCTCCGTCTCTACACACACACACACACACACCCTCCCTATCTCCACACACACACACACCCTCCCCGTCTTTACACACACACACACACCCTCTCCGTCTCTACACACACACACCCTCCCCGTCTCTACACACACACACCCTCCCCGTCTGCACAAACACACACACACACCCTCCCCGTTTCCACCCACACACACACACACACACACAAGACTAAACTGGAAAAGGTTCAAAGGTTTGCCACCAGACTAGTACCCGAGCTGAGAGGTATGAGCTACGAGGAGAGACTACAGGAACTGAACCTCACTTCGTTGTAGTTTGTTTTAGTAGTTACAGTTATCTGGCGAGCATACTTTATTATATTATAATACTTTAGTAGGCCATCTGATTACTGTTATACCTGAAGGATAATATTATTTTGATATATATACATTTTTATATTATACAAGTAGTTTATATGCATGTTTTATTTGTATAACCTGATAACCATTATTATGTATGTGACATACTGATGAGGCACCCCGGTTGAACGCCTTTTTGATACAGGGTTTACTCTCCTTTATCCCCTAGACAAACAACGAATTTTATTGTCACAGTTCAACGAGCGGTGTGAACAGGACGTAACACATATACATATAATGTGGGTCATGTCCGGGGTATTATTTCCCACATATTATTAAAACTTTGCTAATCTAGGAACTATAGGAACAAGTGTACTCTAGAAAAACCTGGTCAGTATTACATGCCAGTGAACTGTCCTGCGTAACTATCAACCTACGCTTCACGATTTTGGAGGTAAGTCATTTTTTTTGTTTGTGCAGTGAGGCCAAGCAAATTTTCAGTGTCGTGACAATATAAAGTGAAGTGTGTAGTGCCGTGCCATTCTGTTTAATTATTTTAGTTAGTAAAGTGCCAAATGTTAGTTAACAATGGAGGATCAAGTGAGTCGTTGTTGGTTTATCCTGACTTTGAGGGAATTAAAAGCCTAAAAAAAATCTGCCTTAATAAATATAGCAAATAAGTTAGAATTAACAGCCAACAATAAAATGAATAAAGCACAAATTGTGAGAGTGATAGTGACCCATCTAGTAGAAGATGGCAATTCAGGAGAAGAATTTCTGAATGAGGGAAGTGAGGAGACAAGTGAGCAGATTGCTTTAAGGCGTCTTGAGTTGGAAACTCAAGTAGCATATGCTAAGCTTGAGGCTCGAGAGAAAGATTGTGAATTCGAAAGGCAACAGAAAATATTAGAGATTGAAGCTCAACAGAGAGAAATTGAGGTTAAGGCTAGACAACAACAGTTAGAAATTGAGGCTAAGGCTAGACAGCAACAGTTAGAAAATGAGGCACAAAATAATAGACTTGTAGCTCAGTTGCAATCAGAGGCAACAAAGAAACAGCAGTTAGAAATTCAAAAACAAATGGCTGAGGATAATAATAGAGTAGAAACACAGAGATTGGCAGCTGGACAGGGAAATACTAGCAATGTTCCTAATAGTAATGACAGTAGTCAAATTAAAGTAAATAAGTATGTCGAGTTACCAAAGATTAGTGAGGAGGACCCTGAGGTTTTCTTTTCACATTTCTCTAAAATTGCAGTTAGTATGAACTGGCCAATGGACCAGTGGGTAGCAATTATGCAGAGTTAACTCAGGGGGAAAAGCCAGAAAGTTTTTGCATCTTTGCCTGATGCAAACATTTTTCATTACAATTTTGCTAAGAACAGCATACTAAATGGTTACCAGTTAAACCCTGAAGCACACCGACAAAAGTTCAGAAATTTAAAGAGGGCAAGTGAACAAACAATTGCAGATTTCACCTGGTTAAAAACTAATTACTGTAACAGATGGCCTAAGTCTCTTTCAATCAAAGAGTTTGATGCTCTTAAAAAGCTTCTTATCACAGAAGAAGTGTTGTCATGTCTCCCAGATAAATTGTCAACTTTTATGGCAGAGCAGAAGAACATAACAGACATTTATGAGCTGTCTAAGCTCGCTGATGAGCATGAGTTGTTAACTAAGGCCCAGTTTAAGGCCCAATCACCTTAGTTTAAACGTAGAGTAAATTATAATGCTCACAGAGCTACTTATCAGAACCAATCCAGTCCAAGTGCTCCAGTTTCTCCCATGAACTCTTCACTTAGAAAACCTAAACTTGCTGCTCCATTGCCAGGAACATCAAATCCTAGAAATGTTAGTTCTAAACCTACAGTTGGTTCCACAGGTGTGTCCACTGTAAGGTACTGTACCCATTGTAAGAGAAAATGCCATGTGATTCATTCTTGTTTTAGTTTCACCCTGAGTTACGACCAACTGGGAAGAAGATTGTAATCTTGATACTCTACAATCCCCCACCAAACAGTAGAAGGCCCAGGCAGGAGTACGAGGACAGCAACAAGACATGTATGGATGAACTGCAGAGGGCAGCAACTTTAGCGCATAGAATGAGAGCGAAGCTGCTGGTCATGGGGGACCTAAATCACGGAGAGATAAATTGGGAAACGAGGAATCCCCATGGCGGGGAGGAGACCTGGGGAGCGAAGCTGGTAGACGTTATTGACAGGAATTTCCTAACACAGCATGTGAAAGAAGATACTAGGGAAAGAGGAGGGGATACGCCCAGCCTATTAGATCTCATTATCACTCAGAATGTAGAAGACATCGAGCAGTTGGAACATGAAATACCACTAGGAGCTAGTGACCATTGTGTCCTAGTCTTTGACTACATGATGGAGCTTAAAATTGTGACCAAAGGACAAGGGGTCCGGGAAAGGAGACTTGATTACAGAAAAGGGGACTACAGAAGGATAAGGGACTACCTGGGAGAAGTGCAGTGGGAGGAAGAACTTAGAGGAAAAACAGTGCAAGGTATGATGAACCAAGTCATATTGAAATGCAAGGAGGCTGAAGATAGATTTATTCCAACAATAAAGGAAAAAAGCAGGAGGGAATATAATAACCCATGGTTTAATAGACAGTGTCAGGAAGCAAAGGTGAGAAGCAGGAGGGAGTGGAGGAAGTA